AAAATAATAAAGATATATAATAATTATGCTACGTAATACATATTTTATTATAAAAAACTAGACTAATTAATCAAATAATTAATCAAATAATTCGTCAAATTTTATATTAATATCTTCTATATCTATCCAAATATTAACGTGCTCATCTACAACTAATTTATCTATAACTTGTTCAGGTAAATAACTTTTACTATCTATATCTAGTGATTACTTAATAATAAACCATTTTTCATCTAGTGGACCTTGAGGAAATATATAAGTAAGTAATTTTGAAAAGGCATGTCTTGAGTGACATGAATATTAGATTTAAATGGAGATTTTTTTTTGGTGTAAACGGTTATAGAATGAAGTGCCAATATTGAAGCAGAATAATTTGTAGATACAGCAACAGGAGTAAAATTAGCTATAGATAAATCAATAAAATTCTTAATTAATAATATAAAAATAAAACTTAAATACATATATATATACCTTCATTTAATATATTATTATTAGTATTTGGAGGTTGCTTTGATACTGGATATCGATATTTAGTTTTGTCAAAAGATGGAATATTCGGTAGCATTTTTTCATTAACATTTGGCATTTCTATTAACTTAATTTAAAAAAAAATTAATATTTATAAACAAAATATATATAATAAATTATATTTATTAAAATGATTACAATTGCATGAGTCCATAATGTTAGAATTTCACTATCTAATTTCAAATGTCAGCCATCTTCTGAAATTAAGCATCCTTGAATATGTATATTACAAGGCGGTAGATTTTCATAAATTTTTTTTTTAATATCATTTAATTTATTAATCATGCTTGATTCAGTATCAAGTGTCTAATAATAATAAATGAATAAATAATAAATAAAAAATAGAGTTTAATAAATAAAAAGATAAGTAACTTACACAAATTTTTTTATTTGCTCTAGATTTATTATTGTCTTGATAAACACATAACTGAATATTTTTTCTGTTTTTTATTCCAGCTAGAAATGCAGCAATAGCGCCATCAGCTTTTAAGTCATAGTGATCTGCTTTGGATGTGCTTAAAACTTGATAACAAATGCGACCTAATTCAATCTTTCCCCATTGTTCTGGAAGTATGCAGATAAGATTTCTTCTTCAACATTTCTGAAGTTTTTAATATTATTAAGATCATATGGAATTGCCAATGCCCCATCCAGTTTTTTATGAGGCTTCTCAAACCGATCATAGCATACTAATGTAATAAATACTAATATTAAAGTATTAATTAGTTAATTTTAAAAACTGAATAAATAATTTAAAATGTATCATATCTTACTTGTATTAGGTTCCTTTACATTAATAAATTCTGATTTAGAATCTTTTATAATTCCTGGTTCAGATTCTTTTATAATTCCTGATTCAGATTCTTTTGTATTACTAATTTCCAACTCAGGTTCATTTATATTACCAAATTCTACTTCGGATAAGTCAGGTAAGTCGGATGATTCTGAACTATCTGCTACAGACAAACAATCTAAGGGATCTTTGATTGTTAAATCTACTGTTTTGATACTTTCATTACTTTTATTTGATTTGTTCTGATCCTCTTTTTTTCACCAAATATTAATCATTAGTATTAAGTAGATTTTCAATACAATAAAGATAATATAAATATATAAAATTTTTTACTTTGATTTCGTTTATCATAATTATTCATGCATTCTCGACAAATATTAATAAGGTCTTGATCACTTGGAATCTTGACTTGAAATTCATTATTAAACCAGTCGATAAATTCAGAATCATACTTGACTTTTTTAATAGCGGCTCCTGTTCGTGTAATATGTTTATTATAAAAGCTTAATTTATATCCGGACCCTTTTTTGGATTTCTTGCTGAGGTTTATTGACTGACACGAACAGTCTTTTCCATAAATTTCTGTGCAAACTAAACACACTAAGCATGTTGGACAAGCGTTGGGGCGAAAATTTAATAACATTGTTATAATAATTGGTCATAATACGAAAATAGCTTTTATTATTTTATTATATAATGGATCATGCCGAAATCACTAACTTAACCGAATCGGTAAAACAATCATTCGGCTAATTTTTAACAGGTGTTTCAGGAATT